ACGTTACGCGCTGTAGACGCGGTTATACTTATAGGTTAGTTGGGAGTACAAAAAGGCCCCAGCAGCAGCAAGGGGTCCCACGCCAGTCGTTGAACGAAGACGGTCGATGTCTGTCAGATCGCCGTCAGGCAGTCTGGTTTTAAATATTACTAGGAATACCCGTAATTACTAGCAGCACCAGGGTGCTTGCCTTTGCCTGCTCTGTTTTGTTAATTCTCTTGCAAAAAAAAAATTTTTTTTTTTTTTGATGAAATCAATATCTAACTTTTAATAGAAGACCAACATTCTGACCCAAATCCTGTCCCTTCATAGCATATAGATGATTTAACTAACAGTCATTTGAGCGGTTGGCTATCATCAAAATTTTTAATGTTTGGTGGAACAAGAAGTTAAGAATTCAAATTTTACATTTTATTATTTGTTATTATATGTAATTTGTCATTTTAAATAAATTTCTTTAAATTTATATGGATACATTGAGATTTTATGTGATTTTTTCTAAATTTATCTACAATGATTGACCCAAAAAATATGTATAGATGATTGGGGAAAAAAATAAAGAAAGAAAAGAGGATGAGCAGATTTATTCGAACTTGAAAGTTGAACCGACTTCGCGCTTTCTTTTCTGGGTCGGTGACTAAGCTCGCTGGGGATTGGGAGTCTGGGGTTTTTTTTTTTTTTTTAAGTGGGGGTTGGTTTCTAGCACAATTGCCTCCTCGCTTTCTTGCTTTTAGTCAGGAAAAAGAAGGGAAATTTACCAATAAGATGCCAAGTCCATTTTAAGGCTTTTGCTTTGTCCAATTAATTATCTCTATCATTATACTATTCACTTCCTCCACTTAAAATTTTCCTTTCTCTCTCTTTTTTTTCAATGAATATGATCATTGAGCAAAGTTCGAGTGTAATAGAAATCAAATCTTACTCTCGCCCTTTCTACACATAATTTGGATAGCAAATTATTTCGAATAATATTTCGCTATAAACACATTTTTTAATTTACCCTTTTATATTTTCGACAGTTTTTTTTTTTATCTCACGTACACTACATCACAAAAAATATTAGATTAATCTTTCTTACACCGATAATGTGTACACTGTCAGCATTAGATTAATAACAACTATACAAAATTTGAATTTGAAATTCAACTTTTACACGCATGACATGAATCCAATGATGATAGTGCATACATTATCAGTGTATAAAAGATTTACTCAAAAATATTACAGTAATGATTTCAAATAATATTTTATCCAAACACACTATCACGCGCAAAGCTATCTGTATTGTGAAAAAGTACTGTAGCACTTTTTTTGATATGATGTATGTGAGATTAAAAGGTGATTAGAAAATATGTTGATCATGCAAGTAAGTCAGTATGTGTAAATAAGGCATAAATAATGTATAACTTAGCACAATCCAAACAAACCCCTTGTGTTTGTACTTGTGTTTTGTGAAGTTATGAGTTTCCTGCCTTGACAAACATAACACAAGAAAAAACAAATGCTGTAAATCAATATGACAAAGTAAAAGGTGCATTCTTTGTTCCATCAAGGCGGCTTCCTTCTGCTGCTGCTCATAATTAAGGTAACGGAACTCAACCACTTCATGCATTAAATTCCCATTCCTTTACTGCTAAAAAGTTACTATATGGCAGCTAAAAAGTTGAAATGTCTCCTTAAAAAAATCAAAAAAGAAAAAGAAGGATCGTGCATATATATACGGCAGACATGTGTTATACTCCCTCCGTCCCACTTTGATAGTCTTGTTTTCCTTTTTGGTCTGTCCAAATTGTAGTCCACTTTCCCATTAAGAAATGTAATGATCTTTCAAATTGTCTACAATACCCTTATTAAATATCTTGTTATTAATACATTGTTATTAAATACTAACCCATTACATTGAATACATTGAGCTTTTCCAATGCACTCTTCGTTATTAGCATAAGGGTATTTTAGGAAATTATTAATCTAAATTTATGTTTCCAACCAAATTAATTACACTTTCTTAATCTGTGTGAAAAAAAAATCAAGACTAAGTAAACGGGACGGAGGGAGTATATCTTTTGTTCCCAGGAGCATTCACAAGATCGAAAAATTGCTACGTACGTGATACCGTGACGTTATTATTTATATCAAAACTTTATACTTGATCCACTTGTCAGTATCAAAGTCTGTCGATATGGAGCAACTTATTACGAAGTTTTATTCGCTGACGTATTTTTATCTTGAGAAATTATGGGGCAAAATTGATGAGATTCATTTTCTTGTTTTCTTTGGTGGTCGATTTATTAAGGAATAGAAAACCATCACATGCCCTCTTCAGCGCATTGGATGTGTCTTTACCGAGAAGTTGTTTTGATTGTAACTTTTCAAAAGTTTTTAAAGAAATTTTTTTAAACAAGTGATATATGAGAGATAAAAAATAAATAAATTAAATATTTATAAAAATATTTTTTAAAAAATTAGAAAGCAGCAACCAAACACAGGACCTTAGTACATGTAGTTTAGGCAAGAGCCTAAGGTATGTCTTTATAATTGACTTGCTTTTACTTTTTTTTTTTCTAAAATTTTAATTGCTGCAGACTTGTAGTAATTTGACATGCGCGAACGGGATTTCTCGTATAACTATTAGTTGTTGTTACCTGCGTGAAAGTTGCATTTCAGAATAATTTTGGATTGGTGCTATTGAAAAATCCAATTTACAAACATCTTCTATCTAACATGAGATTATGCAATATATTTAATTATGGGCCATTCTCGTTTTCTCTTTTTTCTTTTTTAAAATGTAATAAAAAGGCTTCTTTCTATCAACATCCTAGCATTTTCGCGGAAAACACACCATCATTATGCATGATCATTGATGAGGCAATAGTCAACAGCTAAATTTCGTATGGTTGAGTGAGCTAGAGTAGATCTTTGGTCCAATGGTCATCGGTCAAGGTTCGAATCTTGTCTTTTATAAAATTTGTCCCAATATGTGACGATTTTCATTGACCAGTTTCGATGGAGTTTCTACTCACATCGAATCCTTTCCCTCTTTCCGTAGAATAGGCTAGTTTAGATTATAGAAATTCTATCGTATCGATAAAAAAAAAAAAAGAGTGAGCTGGGGTTGATGTTTGATTGCACTCGCATACAAGGAAGGAAATTCGTGTAGATATCAGACCAGAACTTCATCGGTTGTGCAACTTGAAGAAGCAAGGCTAGAAATGCATATCCAGAGGGGCGAACGTTGAGCGTGAGAGGTCGTGCCGACAAATTTCATTCACGAATAAACTATAAGAATGATTTGTTTTTTTCTCTCTTTCCTTCTTTAATTTCTCACGAATAACCCATAAAATGATACTACGTCGCTTTAACCACGTTTTGGCAAGAATAATTTCAGCATATCAATGGCTGAGAACAGTCTCAATACAACTTCAACATAAAATTTGTTAGGCATCACGTGCCATTTTGGTCATGTATATCAACTGTGGACACAAATTATTGGATGTGAAATCAAAAGGTGTGGGTTTAGCGATCCAATAAGGCCCTACTCGGAATTTCTACGATCTTACCGAAAAGAAAATGAATTAAGCCCATGTATAACTTCTGTCTTCTCTAGCCCATGTAGTAATTGAGCCCATGTATTCGGTTAATGCATGACTGCCACGAATTTTTAATCTTCAGCCATCCTAAATACGGGCATGCCTTTTAACAGTTCCATGGGGCGAAAAAGAAGCGCAGATACCTTCCTAGTCTTTTTGGTTGTGGAGAATATTTGAGAAGAACAATAATATGTGCTAGTAAAGAAATGTTTCAATTGCAAATTTGTTACCGTGTCCATTTGGTATGTTTTCCTATTTCTCCAACCTTGCAATTGCATTACCAAAAAAAAAAAAAAAGGTTTTACTTTATGTAATTGCTTAACAGTAGTCACTAGACTAGTCATGTATTTGTAATTGCTTAGTTGTCTTCTCCTCGTCTGTTTGGACAGGATAGTATTTGAAATAATTACTGTAACATTTTATGTGACGTGATGTATGTGAGATAAAAAGATAATTGAGAAGATAAAAAGCTGTATTGAAAATTGTAATGGTGATGTCACCAAATATATTTGGCTAAATAATCTACTGTCCAAACAAACCTCTCAGCTTAATTTAATATAAAGAAAGAAGTACATTTAATCGACCAAACACCTGCTTAATTTAATGTAAAGAAAGAAGTACATTTAAATCGGCTTCTGCTTTTGCTGTCCAAAGGCGTTTATCTTTTTTTCTCCCCTTGAAACACAAATTTAATCATCAATAAAAGAAAAAGAAAAAGAAACCCCTTAGTGGCGTATGTATTTTTTTGTTTGAGGTTTAGACATCTTTTTCTCCTTTGTTCTTGGCTGAATTATTAGATTAGGGTCAAGGCCGCAATTAGAGAGAGGCGTGATCCGTGTAGGCATGGCCATGGTTCCATTTGGAACCAGAAATCGGACCGGAATCGGACCGTTTGGAACCGGATCAGAATCGGAACCAGAACCGTAGTAGAACATTGGATAAAGATTCCGGTTCTAGTTCTCTAAAAAATAGAACCATAACCAGAACCAGAACCGTCGGTTCCAGAACCGTTAAAAAAATTAAAAATAATTAATATAAAAAATAATAAAAGTAGAGACATCATGATGATCATCATGATCCACCACAACCTTTTGACCAAGCTCTCAACGGATCCAAGAGGAAAAAATTGCAAAGAAGGGCTCCAAAGAAAAAGCTTGTATTCAAAGAGAAAAAGGGAGCTTCTTCAATTTTTGCTCCCGGGGGCTCTCAACGGAAGAAAGAAACAACCATACGGAACCGGAACCGGAACTGAAACCATAAGGAATCGAAATCAGAACTATGCGGTTCTGGTTCTACCTCTTTGAAGAACCAGAACCACCGGTTCTGAAACCAGAACCAGAACCACCGGTTCTGAAATCAGAACCAGAACCATCTTATATGGTGCGGTTCTGGTTCTACCTCTTTGAAGAACCAGAACCGTCGGCCATGCCTAGATCCGTGTTTACCATCCCCAATTCCGGCGTATTTTTCAAGCTACTGTCGGGGCCTATATATTCGAAAACCTTCCCCATAAACCTTTTTCCTTCTTGAATCCTCCTTTTATATACGATTGCTTCGATTCTTCTCCTTCCTTCAAATCTTTTCACTCTTCTCAATGGCGGATAGCAGCGAAACAATTCCGGAGTCCAAAATCAGTGGACGGTGGGCCGACGAAGCTGACAAAGAAGCTGCAGGAACCTCCGAGGAAGTTGAAATCGATGCATTAGCGATCGATGAGTCCAAGAAAGTTAAAAACGACCTTACAGATCCGGACGACTCGTCCATCGAAGCTGTATGAACATTTCGGGCCCATAGATCTAATTCTAGAATATTATGTTCTTCTAGGGTTTTTAATTTGAATTTATATATACGAACAAGACGCATTAATAATCGATTTTTGGTTACTTTTGTGTACTACGTTTTTCAAATTTTGAGCAATTGCTTTGGACTACGTTTTTCAAATTTTGAACAATTGCGTGTTTCTTTTCAACTTTTTGGTGCATGCTGCCCATTCAATGTTAATTTTCATGGACATGTTGTTGATTTTTAGGATTGTCTGCTAATTTTTCACTAATAGTTACTGTGTGTAGATACAAGCATCAAATCTCTGAAAACCAATTTTAAATTTGTCACTCTGTTTGCCTAGTTATATTCATTAGGATGTATTTGAATCGCTAAATATAGACTTTTAACTGCGTCTATTGAATTTTAGGAGTTCTGTTTGAATGTAGCTAAGTTGCGATTTGGTTACAATGGTTTAGGTCACATCGGGGGACACTCCTTACGCATCAGCAAAGAAGTTTGAGGACTTGAATTTGTCTTCCGAACTGTTGAAGGGTTTATACGTAGAAATGAAATTTGAGAGACCTAGCAAGATCCAAGCAATCAGCTTGCCGATGATTCTGACTCCACCATTCAAGAATTTGATTGCTCAAGCCCACAATGGTTCGGGAAAGACCACTTGCTTTGTTCTTGGTATGTTGAGCCGTATGGACCCAAAGCTCTCGGCTCCTCAGGCTCTCTGCATCTGCCCCACTCGCGAACTAGCAATTCAGGTTGAGTATATTTGTGGATGATAGTCTCGTGGAATCGTTCTTGAGAGTTTCATGAAAGATTTACACTGTTGTTGGGGGAGTTAAGAGTTTTACACTTTTGGAAACTTAAACACTTGATGATGTTTCTTGATTTTCAATAAAATTTCAAGTGTTATTCTTTTCACTTTAGCCATTATGTGTTGCAAACTAATCTCTTAACAGAAAATTGCCTATATAGATAAGTTTCTCTAATTTTATGTTTGTTTTAAAGTGCATATGAATGGAAAAATGTAGATAAAATTTTAACTATTGGGAGTGGTTGATAAAATGATCAGAATATGGAAGTATTGTTGAAGATGGGGAAATTCACAGGGATAACATCAGAATTAGCTATCCCAGCAGATAGTGCCAGCTTCGTACCAATCTCAAAGAGACCTCCTGTTACAGCACATGTGGTGATTGGAACACCTGGTACAATAAGTAAGTGGATAACAGCAAGGAAACTGAGCATGAGTTTCATGAAGATTCTTGTGTTTGATGAGGCAGACCACATGTTAGCTGAGGTAAATTATTTTTGTCTATCTTGCTTATGCCTCCCCCCCACCTTCTTATGATTTAGGTATATTTTGTGATGGATAATGATTAATTTTGCAGTCAAAGAGCTCAATATGCGCTTGTTGATTATTTTTAATTCATTATTTCTTTTTGGTTGGAAGGGTAGGGGTGAAACAGAGGAGGCATTTATTAATATGATATGATCTTACTAGCAATGAGGCAAAATAACTGCTTACTGTCTTTCATTGTTTCTAGATTATGTTAATAACGAGTGTTCATTTGGTCTTGATACTTGACTAAATCTTTGCAGAGCGGGTTTAAGGATGACTCTGTAAAAATTATGAGAGCAATAGTTCAGAGCAGCCCTGATTGCCAGGTCTGTAGTTATCTGCTTATGTGCGTGTACTGTTGTGTTCAATTTTACATCTTGTTCATATTTGAAGTATATTTTGACACTTGGGTTGGTTGCTTGTAAATTTTGTTGCAGGTTCTCCTGTTTTCTGCCACATTTGATGATGCAGTCAGGGCTTTTGTGGATAAAATAAACAAGGACATCTTTAACAGAGATTATAATCAAATGTTTGTGAAAAAGGAAGAACTATCGCTGGAGTCTGTGAAGCAGTACAAGGTCCAGTGTCCAGATGAGCTTGCAAAAGTCATGGTTGTTAAGGATAAAATCCTTGAACTAGGAGAAAAAGTGGGTCAGACAATCATATTTGTTCGAACACGCAACAGTGCTAGTGCACTGCATCAGAGTTTAGTTAATTTTGGCTACGAGGTTACAACTATTCAAGGCGCTTTAAAGCAAGAAGACCGTGACAAGATAATCAAAGAGTTTAAAGAAGGACTGACACAAATTCTAATATCAACTGATGTACTTGCTCGGGGTTTTGACCAGTCACAGGTGCTTTTGATTGCATTGCTTTTTCATCATTGTATGTTGTTTTGTTTGTTTCCCGCTGTAAATCTTAGTCAGAGATTTCTTGACAGGTTAACTTGGTAGTCAATTATGAACTCCCGGTCAGATTTAACAATTTGTCAGAGCCAGATTACGAGGTGTACCTTCATCGGGTTGGTAGAGCAGGCCGTTTTGGCCGCAAAGGTAAATTTCATGGATCTAATCTCGTGCTCCATTGTTTGTTCTCAATTCTCGCTTCTCAATGTAATTTCATGATATTTTACCTGGAAAAGTAGCTAGTTTCTATCTTGTTGAATGTGTATGTTAAAGCAATTGATCACATAGCATAATGCACAGGTTCATGCTTTTTCATTAATTGTCAAACTGTCTGGCCATCTGCAAATGGGATAATGAAAAAAAGAGAAGACATATTAAGCCATGAATCTTCGGTCTTGTTTGCTTTGATTCCTGAAGATGTTAGATGATTCATTGGGTAGTCATGTGCGGTTGGCCAGCTTTTGATTTCCTTGTGTGTATTTCATTATAAATGTTGTCAGTGTGGGCATATAAAATTTACCTAAAACATATTTTTAGGTTACTTAAAAGAGTTATTATCTCTTGTGACAATGTAAGCAACTTGCTTTTGTTTTCTGTTCGGAGGCAAATTGACTATAAGTTTACCAGGAAGCTGCAGTTTACTTTGACCTTCTTGTACGTCTACAGGTGCTGTGTTTAACTTACTTTGCGGTGATAGAGACAGGAGGGTGATGGAAAAGATTGAGAGTTACTTTAACTGCCAAGTAGCTGAGGTAGTATTTTTGTTGCCTTTCTAGTCTGCCTGAAGTTTTATGCTTGTGAAACAACTGTCGTCAACTTATAATTGTCCTTACAACATCTGCAGGTGGGATCGTGGAACAGTGATGAAGACTTCGAGGATGCACTTAAAAAAGCGGGGCTGATCTGATGGCATGCTACGCTCTCAGTCAATTGATTTCCAACTTCTCAAGTGGCTCTGTTTTTTTGTTCCTAAAGCCGGGCATCACGCGGCAGAAAGGGGTGAGAATTATGGTAGTTTCGAGTCTTCTGATCTAAATTTGGAAGAATGACAGAAGAAGTCCGACCTTTCCAATTTTGTACCGAGAACAGAAATGGAGTATTTATGGTACTCGATATTAAAAGTGAGTTGTGCTGGTGGTGATTTACGATGCTGGTCAAGTGGTTGTGATAAAGACGTATAAGATTCGGGATTTCCAATTTCTGATTCTGGGCTTTTGTCCATAGCTGTTTAGGCTCATGTAATTTAATGACGAGGAAATATGGAGGAGGTTGCAGCTGCTGAAGTGTACGGTATGGAATTCCATGTATAATAAGGTTGTCTTGCAACAGCTCCAATATTAATATTATTGCAAAAGGATTAAAAAGAAAATGGAAAATGGAAAACAACCTATAGATCTCATCTGCTGTGTAATACAAGATCTTTTGTATACTTCTGATTGTTTTTTCATATAGCTCGCTTGTTTTGCGGTCATAATACAAAGATGTTTTGTTTTTCGATTAATAGATTGGCTACGGATGGTATGTGTGTACTTCTTATGTAGGACTATTGTTACAAAAAAAAAAAAAAAGTTTTAACCGTGAGTAGGACTATTGTCAGAAAAGTAATCAAGACCAACCCAGCCACAGAAAAGCAGTTTACCTTTTATAAAACTTCTTATAAGTTTTTTGGACGAATGGTGCGCACTTTTTTTTGTAGAAGTAAAAGCATCTTGCATAATGAAAGAGGATGATATACAGGCAAATTAAAGAGGTTAGATGGTTGATAGACAACAGAATAGTTCAATCAAACTGATACCCACCTAAGCCCTGCCACTGTACATATTTTGCAATCACAAAAATCATTTTCCTCCCTCTTAACGTTGTATCTTTAGAAAGGTAAAGCTATCCATTTACCGACCAAATTTTTGACAACTTATTGTTGTTGTCCAGGAATAATCAGCAAAGACTAAAGAGATAATATGGTCATCTATTTTATGATGACGCTTAACAGGATGCGATATCCAAAGGAAGAAAGAGAAGGGAATGTAAACAAAACGGACTTGATGGTTTGCACGTCATGGTGATAGGGGTAGTGCGCTTCCACTCAATCCTACCAACCTTTGTGAGCAAGTGGACTTGCTTATAAAAGACATTAGGTCAAATGAAAACACCAATGTCGAATACAAATCAAGATTAGTCGGAGGCTTTGAATCTCGGAGGGAGAAAACGGAGAAGATCATGGATAAATTTGTTGTGTTGATAATTTCAGCTTTGCTGCTAACAGGTTCCGTCGGAGCCATGGATGATTGGAAGGAAGGAAAGGAGGCCATTCATGTCGGTGGCAAAGTGTTATGCCAAGACTGCACCGAGGGATGGAAGCAATGGATCGATGGTGCCAAGCCCTTGCAAGGTGAAGTTTACCCCATCTATATGTTAGGGTTGTATGCATACTACTACGTTAAAAAAAATAAAAATGTGATCATTAATTATTATCAACGTGGGCAGCAATTAACAGCATTGGTCGATTCATTTGATTCACTTCATCATTTCCAAGTTTTGGAGTTGGTGGCTGAGTATGTGATGCCCGAATGCAGGTTGCAAGGTATCCGTAACTTGCCTGGACGACAGAAGCAGGGTGATGTACTATGGAAGTGATCTGACAGATGAGGCTGGAGACTTTGATATGATCATTAACAAGTACATCAACGGGAAGGCGGTCAACGCCGAAAATTGCTTTTTAAGGCTAGTCTCCTCCCCAGACCCAGTGTGCAACGTTGCCACGGACTTTGCCGGCGGGAAGACGGGGGTGAAGCTCCACCGACCAACCGTCGTGTATCGGGACGTTATCAAATACGTGCTTGGACCCTTCTATTACACCACCCCAATGTGCGATGAGCCTGATGCTACGAACAATGGTGACCATGGCTCGTCAGATGAAGATGCAAAGGACAGCAATTACTACTGATTATCTCTATCTTTATATGAATATGATGATAATGTCTGTCGCCTTTTCAGTTAAATGTTACTAATTTGTTTTTGTTGCTTGGTATCTCAATTACCAAAATATTTTCCTCATCTTCTTCTTTTTTTTTTTTTTTTTTTTAAATGGTCTTCTTGAGGACCATGCGTGGATTCCTGTCCGGTTAATATGGTTTCCAATATGTGAATTTAATTAAATTTATTAATTGCTCCTCCTTGGAACTCGGTTGAGTCTATTGTATTGTATGCTCAGGGTAATTTGGTAGTTGGTACTTCTTCCCGGCTCCATTTTTGTATCAATCACATTTCGTCAAAACGAGACCCTAAGAGCTCCGCGTGAATGGTCCAGCGGCAGCGTCTCTCACCAGTGAACCTTGACGCTCTGCTGGATTCTTCCGTGCATTTAACGTGTTCGGACCGGGTTGGGGCGTCGGACTCGGACCACAGGAAATTAGTCGGGCCCCATAAGGATTGATCCGGACACCCCTGTGTCGATAAAAAAAAAAAAAAAAACTCTAAAAGGCAATAGTTAGCTATAGCATATGACAAAGTGCTGCAAAAATTAGTAGGAATTATATCTGCTAAAATTCATAACTTTTCACCCGTAACTGACTTTAGCATCGGAGCAGGATCGGGGGATAAGACCCCGGATATTTCTAGATCTTGACAGGTGAATTCGTGCTGTCAACTCGACTCATCCGCTCGAAAATCACCTCATCATCATGGTGATAAAAGAAAAGGTTTCTTACCTCAAAATCAACCCGAACCAGTAGCATTGACATACTTTTTAAGGATGAAAGTTAATTGCATGGAAAGTAGAAGTGGTGGGTATTGGACATTGGCAATTTGTCAAACGTCTTATTTTACATCTGGTGAATGGTTTAGCTCAAAAGGAAATCCAAAAGAAAAAGGAAGACAGAAGGCTTAAAAGATTCATGTCCCAACTGAAAAGAGTGAAGTTTTTTTTTTTTTTTTTTTTTTAAAAAAAGAAGTCATAACAAAGGAAAATTTACTTAGAACAGGAAAAAAAAAAAGAGGCAACTTTAATTATGTGGGCCGGGACAACGGGCCGCCACTCAACTCGGCCTCCAAGAGGTTCAATTAGTTGGTATGCAAGGCAAGCGAGCCTGTCCATCCTTCACATTAGCGTTCCACAATCATCCACGTAGACGTAGACCTAACAAGTCAAAATCGGTCATTCGCCTCAGAGGCCCTAATTAGGGCCCAAAAGCCTAGAAAAGCCCAATCCCAACACGGCTCACTTGTCTGTGCCATGGCAACTCGTTTGGGGAGGGCGAGGGCGTGGGCGATCGCTGCTGCTCTCATCTCGTCGTCAACGTCACCATTATTGCGGAATTCAGCGGCTTCCGTCCAAGCCTCGTCGTCTTTTTTGGCCGTTGTCGACCATGGCGCCTCGAAGCCAAGGCAGTTGCGCGCTTTCTCTTCATCATCTTCCTTTTCCCAAACCTCGCAGAAACCCAAGGGGAAGGTAACAGACCGTCTTTCCTCCGTAATTGACGCTGTTAACGACCGTAAACTCCCTCCTGAGCTCCGTGGCCAACGTAACAACGTCAGGTACCGACATCTCGCAAGATGAAACGAACTCCATGATTTTGTTACTGTTTTTCCTTTTTTTCCTTTCTTTCTATATGCCTTATACATGAATTATTTTGTGAATAATTGAAAACGTTAAGTAAGATTGGCGTAAATATTTCTGGAACTTAAACTTTTGGCTTTTAGAATGAAAAAAAATCTGAGAGGTGCATTTGGAATATCCATTTGCTAGCCCTCCAGAGTTCGTTTCATATCATTAATCAAAGTTGTATACTCACTTAGCTTTTGATATGTCGCGGTTGTTCTGCAATTTAGAGTTATATTATATAGGTAAAGTAGAATAGGCCGTTGCTTTTGCTAATTATATGTGTGGTTACAAAATGTGAATTTGTTACCATGTTGACTTGAAGAGTGTTATTTCAAGTGTAGTAGTCATAAACTGTACGAGTTAAAGATTACTGTTGTATTTGAACGAGTGGCTCTGCCGTCATGCGTTTAAACTCTTTTCAAGGATGATGACTAACTTGTGTACGAGAATAAACTCTTTGTTGCATGACACAACCTGTGTATGAGAACCTTTCGATGTTACTGCAATTGGACAGGTCCGAAACTGACATTATCAACGTCGTGGAGCAACGGATATGGCATTCTATGGAGGAAGGCCAGTTTGAGAACTTGCCCGGGAAGGGAAAGCCTTTGGACCTTAGTGTTAATCCCCATGCAGATCCAGCTGAAGATACTTTGTACCGGATTCTATCAAAAAATGGATGTGCCCCTGAGTGGGTCGAGTTAAACAAAGAGGTCAGGAATAGAATTGCAGAATGGCGTGCAGCGCTTAGAAAAGCCTGGTCATTTAAAGGCGGTCAAGATGATGACAAATGGACCGAAGGCTCGGAGGCTCTAAAGCTGCAATTACAGGACATAAATGACAAGGTGAGTGGCCAGTAAATGTTAGTGTATGCATATGGAACTTGTGTTTTGGTAAATTTATCTCTCTACTCATCTTTTTCTTATCATATACTTGAGCAGAGTTGAGAACTTGCGCCTCTATGTCTCTCATTGGCGGTCAATTTCATTATGTCAAGGCATAAAGAATTTAGTGAAACTTCTACCATGTTCTGTCGGACTATTTTCAGTAGCAGATGACGAAATAATCGAAGTGTCTCGTTTGCAGATTTTAACTGCTGAAGTGTCTCTTTTGGAAGTATATATATATTTTGCATATGTAGATGCATCAATTTCATGTGAGATTCATGGTTATGGTTTTGACAGTATGAGATGATCATGCGACAGTTATACTTCCACTCATATCTGATGTTCTTTGGCCAAACTTCACTTGGGGTCTGAAAATATCTATTGAAGATCGTTTCAAAAGTTGAGATTACTTGCAAACACGTGGTAGAGCATACGGGAGTGGTAAACAGGATACTTGCTCTGAAGTTTAAACATTATGAATTCTTGTTGTTTACATTGTAAAAAGCAGGTTCTTTAGGAGGGCTTAGGGAATAGCAATTTTGAAGTTGTGGTATAAGTGGGATGTAGTCATGTTTCGTGAAGGCTTAGTCATAGGCGACATACCATACGAAGGAAAATTAATAAGTAAATAAATGACAGGAATTTGTTAGCTTGTAGTATTACTTTTGCTTTCATGTTTACGCATTTTTATTTTTTATTTTCATTGATGGGTGGCAGCAATGCTTTTGCAAGTTGGATTTGCAATCATCGGTCTGTGTTCATACTGTAGAACTGCATATATATATATATGTAATTTAACCTCATGCACACAGCCCCAAGACTAAAAGCATGCAGCTTTCGCTGGTGTTCAATAAGTCACCTTATATGGATCTCATATCTATTGAAGTCTCTCTCTTCCTTACAGAGAAAAGATGAGAATTACACCTTTTTTGAGTTGTCAAGAATTGCTCCATCTTCGATGGAGCTTAGACGCCCAGCATTACTTTGTTTCTTGCATGAGCTCACTGGAACTTGTAATGCTTGCAGGTTTTCCGGTACAATCTCATTGTTCCATTTGGCCGTCAGATGTTTGGACTGAAGTGGGAGAAAGAACTAGATCGCCTGACAGAAACAGCATAGGTGGCTTCATACAGCTGTATTGATTGGTGTTTGTTCTCTCTTTCATCGTTTTCCTTGTACTATTTCTTCCTTCCTTGGTTCCTTGTGTCCTCCTTTTCACCGCCGCTAAGGGCAGATTAGTGATTTATGGGGTTGGAGGTATGGATGGTTGCGACAATACGCTCGTATGACAAAAAAATTTCTCTTCGAAAGAAGGATCCGCGTGTGTGTTTTTCGAATTAGTGAATCATACTATCTAACGCATTATTGTTTCCATAATTCGTCCAATTTCTATTTGCAATTTTTTTTTTACCTATCGAACTCAACAGAAATTGAGATGAGAGCTGGATGTTCCAAGAGATTGTTTTGCCTTTTCAAGCTAGCCAGTGTTCACTCGGAGAAAGCAAAACCCCAGCATTTTTTAGTCTGTTGGCTGATCGCCAACGTGATTCTGCTGTCTAAGTGCATCTTCAAAGGACAGACTACACAACTGGACCGAAAAGATTTTAGATGAAAGAAATTGTTAATGGTACGGCTAGATACGTGTTAAAATTACCAACTAAACAACGCTGTGAAAACAAAAGGGGGCAAAACTTGAGCGTAGCAGCAGGAAATTACAGACCAGTAGCGTTCCCAACAGCACACCCCTTTAAAATATTGCAACTGTAAAAGAAAAATAAATGATTATAGAGTATTCACATATACAGTATGTTACAAAGCGTCTAGCCATTTAAAGATGTCTTGGCAGCAAGATGGGTGAGAGCTCGTCTATGATATGTGCAGCGCAATTTCTTGTACTTTTGTATGAAAGAACCATGATCAATTTCTCGATCAAGAAGCTGTCTGTGGAGGGCTTCAGATTCTTCCTCAGCTGTACTCATGGCCTCTGCAACGAATAAAACATTCGGTTGAGCCTGAAGAACTCTTCTTTGGATAACTGACTCCATGTGACAAATTGGTTTCCCTCAAACTTTTAACTCCAAATATATATCTGATAATTCAAAATGACCACTGACAGACGCTAAAATTTCAGATATTTAGGCTAATGTCATTATCGTCCCCAACATAGTCCAGTGCTAGAAAAAAATTCTTGGGCACTCTCCGACCTTGATTTTTTTTTTTTGGTTTTGAGGGGGGGGGGGGGGGGAGGCAGCGGTGGCACAAAAATAGGCTTTTTGTTGATGATAACCAATGATGTTTACACACAAGGGTATTCCCTAACAACATAGAACTACACAACTAGACTCTCAGAGCTTGATATCGGGTTGAGAATTGCAAAAACATACATTCACTTTCAGAAAAAAGTAACACAAAGAAAAATCACTTCTTGAACTCCAATCCAATTAGCAAAGAAGCTCTCGCAACCTTAAACCACATAATTTACCAACCAGTCCCACAGCTAAGTATGAAGACCCTGCCATTGGCAATTCACCAA